GTCGTTGATTGAAACATTCACGTTGAAATGATCTTCGTGGATTCGCTATTTTCCTATCGAATGAATACGGCGCTAATTTTGTGCATTTCGTGTTACTTCGAATTGAATTTGAACGATTACGTAAATTCTGTTTTAAATTTACTTTTATTCGACGAAGATATTGCGCATTTTAAAATGAAATATTGACGCAGACGAAAAGAGAAGAGCGAATAGAATACTTTGTCCAATATCAATTGTTATAAACGAAAAAGTATATTCCCTTTGTCAATGATATATTATTTTTATTCTGTATTTAAAATTGTAATTTAAAACTGTATTTCAATATCGAATTTTAATATTACGTTCTATCAGACTAGATTTTGTTACATGTGGATCATAATCGGTATCAGTGTGACTCATAAAGAGAGAGCTGTACGAGGTGTCCGCCTCCGATTTTGACCTACATCGTAGGACAGTAGAGTACACTTTTCTTTTCTTACGTAGAAAGCATTACGCGTAAATATCGTGTATCTTTAAAAATTCTAAGCGACAAAGGTACAAACAATCGTCTAACGTAAACTCTTCTATTTCAAACTCCGCTATCGAAGATGTATGAAAGTAATTTTACCAGATTAGTACAATTTAGCTGAAGAGACTAAATCCAATGGAAATATGAAACTTTAATTCGATATTTTTATTTTATTTTTTCTTTAACAATACCTATATACTCCTTCGTAACAATTATTTTCTTATCGGGCAAAAGATCCGAGTCCTGCCGTATAATAATTAAACGATATAATTACACATATCTGCTTTCCAACAGGATCACAAACAAACACTTTAAATTCGCAAAAATCTCATAGAAATGATCAGCAACGCCAAACCATGTACCGTTTACGTCACTTAGAGACTCTTCGTCCTTTAATTGCCTCATCCCCCATTTTTCAGCACGAGGCCACCTAATTATCAGTAATCGAGAATGACATCTCCTCTCTCTTCAGATTCATCCCATGCTGTTCATCATCGCAAACATTCTCAAACTCCAATTACAAAGTTACAACCTTACAAACCGTGCAACCCATTTCGATCATATAATAAAAGCTAAGAGGGCCACGTTTCCACGTCGCGGAATTCATATCGGCGCTCTCTGCTTCTCGATGGTCCTCGATGTCTAAAAGATTCGGCGTGTCAGGGATAATAAGCGCGCGGGGATCACGTCCGATCATTAATCCGCGAAATACCAAGTGGATTCGGTCGGAGTTTCGGCGAATGAAAAAAGCGTAAACGCGTGTTAGCGCCGGATGCATTGCAGCAACGTTGACTGATTCGGGGCCAACGTTGCGTTAACGCAGCATTTCATTTGCAACTCTTTTTTTTCCAATAAATTTACATAACTCAATTCTGTTTTCTGTTTCAAGGATTCGTAGTAATTCGAAGATGGTATTCCACTGGGAGTAGCCATTCACATGTTATTAGCAATTAAGTTAGAAAAATTTACCAAATGTCCAGCTGGACAAATTTTAAAGTACAAATTAAATAAATAAATAAAAAAAAAGGATTCGTAGTTAGAGTTGATGGTTTTTTCGCCACTGTCTATTTCACATAGATCTTACGATTCTATGAAAGTTGGAGAAATTGAAATAAGGGAAACCTGTACGAAATTGTATTATTGCAAGGTAAAACGTATATCGTGCTTATCTCCATAGCTGGTTTAAGATCTTCATAAGTAATTAAAAAGAAATTGACGATCATTTGGCCACTACTTTTCACCATATTCAAGCGTTTGTAGATAAAAATGTATTACAAAGCTCGTACATCGGAGAATTATTAAGTTTCCTGTATTTTCAAGTGTTTCGATCTTATTCTCGACGCTGCACGAAGAAATATATAAACAGTGTCTATTTACAGCATGTTTTTAAAACTATCGCCGGTCATTTTTGTCTTCATATTTGGTTGTAACGTGTGTGCGCGAGGTTGCATTTCGTACCCCACTGTTCTCAAACTGTCGTTTAACCTTTTGGCAATAACGGCTAAAAAACAAATGTCGACGAACAAATAAGCCAAGGCACGTGAGAAGAAATAACAATGAAAATAACTTTTGCGTATAGAAACATGGCGTAAACCAGTTGAACGAACATTTTGAACTGCAGTTGCTGTGAATACGAAGAACTTAACGATTCTCGATATCACCATTTCAGATCGGTTTATACACGAGTTTCATTCATTCTAATATCATTCAGCAGCTTCGATCAAGATCGATATCGTACAGTACGATTTTACACAGCCCACGATCCAAGATCGAAGAAAGAAGAGATTTCGTTTCATCGTTAACTATTGTCACTGCGCTTGGACTTTCGAACTCTACGTTTATCACTTCACGTTCATTATGAAGGCGTTCCGTAAGCACAAAGTCTGTTTTCTAAATTAAAAAACCATAAACCTAGAACCTTGAACATACAATTTTCTACGATTTTTCCATATTTATAACATCGTGATAAACAGACGTCGCTTGGTCTTCATCGCGTTGACTACTATGCAGCTTCTTGCATAGTAAATATCTTACCCTAAAAGCCGCTTTAGATTCGAAGCTACTCCCACTGACGCTTAATTTTTACGAAATGTTATGTCCTGTCAACGTGCTCCCTTTCTGACAATGTTCATCGATCCAGGTCGTTCGCATCGTTGAATACTCCTCGATCTCTGTCGCAAAAAATATATTTTTCATTTCTTACTTCAGTCATCCTGAGAAATTCAGTAAAACGTGGGTCACCGATGATCACCGTGGCGGTTGAGGTGTCGATGGGCGAAGAAGTGTGAGCGAGTGGAGGACACAGAATGGGAAGGAAGGGGTAGAAAGGGCGTGAGAGAGAGGAATAAGGGGGAAGGAGAAAAAAATAGTAGGAAAGGAATATCGAGAGGGGGTAGGCTGAAAGGGGGATGCGGGAAGGAGAAGAACGCAGGTGAATGCGAATGGGCAGCGCAGGGTGTGACGCGAATGAATGCGATCCAACGCCATTTTGAAAGGATACCGCCGGCGGACGAGGCGGGAAAAGTGGATTGCAAAAATGTCCAAGGTATGCACTTCACGGCGTCGCGCTCGAATCCGTCGTGGTTTTCGTGACCGCGAGATTCTTCGAGGGTCGACCGATTCGCACCCTTCGGTTTTCGCAATCGTTTTCTTAGTCGCGAGTGCTCGCGTCGTACTCTCGTGTTTCGTTACGGTACGAGGTGATAGGTGAAGGTGTTGATGGAGTTGCGTACGATGACGGTTAATTCCTTGGAAGATCGTGGAAGGCTGTGACGTTAGTTGAATTCGTGGAGAAGGTAAAACGATTAGAACGTTGTTGCCGTTTTATTAGAACCAGAAGCAATGAGAGGTCGATAGGTTGTTTTGATGGAAGTAAGCAAAGAACGTACGTACACTTGCTCACGGAGGTATTCTAGTATTTATCATAGGGAACTTTCATGTGTAGACACGTTCCATGTGTTATATAAAACAGCTTGAGATTTCATTAGCACTCTGATGAAACACGATTATGACTTATACGTATGGATTGGTAGAAATTGAGATTTATCGCAAGATATTATCGCAAACGTACATTTAGTAAACAATTAGTGTACAGTGTGCACAGCCACGTCTGATGTCTAATAATAAGTGTTAAGGATTTATTGTTATTTATTGGTTTATTTATTTATTGCCACGTCGACTTTGTCTTGCTCGATATCGAGGATTATTAATGGTGTAATAGATAATTGACTAATTGTCTAAATAATTTTCTGATTTTTGTAAAATATATACTTGTATTAAATGTCTCGTAATTTCTATATATATGTTGTAGATTTGTTTCAAACTTCACCAATACAGATACGATAGATGAATTTCATTACACACATAGTGCTTTTCAAAATGTTTCCTATAACACGTGTAATATATTCATGACAGGTATCTACAGGTGTTCAGATACTTTCGTAAGTCCGTATAGATCATTGTTCTTATAGTTAGTTAATTCTGTTAGAGAAACATAAGGAATTAAATTACTGTTTCGTTAGAAAATATTAACGACCAACAAGCTGTAAAGTTATATACATTTACGCTGACTATAAACATGTAAAAATAGACCAGAACGTGTAAAAACTTAATAAAAATATATGATATCTCGTGAAAGTTTATCTTTTTGAAATCATTATTTGCGTGTTTCACATTTAATAGGTACCAGACTTGCAACAGTATCTTGTTACCATACTGTTACTTGATCAAAATTTTTTCTACGAAGTAACGTTTTTGAGGTGCAGAGTTGGTGATCAACAGAAATTTTATCACTATATGACGTTATATTTTATGCAAAATTCATTATACGAAGAAGCTTATACAGTATAAATTACAGTAAAAATTTGCCTTCAGAGAACGATCCAAATAATAATTTAAATAATTCTCTATTTCACATAATATGTAAAATTACGTACGATGTATATACAATGCGTTACACTGCTTTACGCTAAACGTATTCTTTAAACTCACAAAAGAATCGTATTTTAATTTCACTTTACCGAGACTTCATGAAATATGACCTTGTATCTTTGCAACAATCGAACGTCATGTTTTAAGAAAATATTTATATTGTAAGGAACCAAACGACACGAAAGGTAGAAGGTCGAATCTTCTTGAAAAATAATTTGAACGTTAAATTTCGAATTTAATCAAAGTATGCAATCTCGTTATTCTCTTGTGCAAAAATTTACGCAAGCCAAATAATGTTCAACCTTTCAAATATTCTTTTTCCAAAAATTCCAAAATACAAGTGAAATACCATCTTGAACATGTCTGTTCGAGAGAATTATTTACACGTGTCGAAAGATCGCACTTCAGGTATCGCCTGATGAATATCCGAGAACCGCGGTCACCAACGAAAGAAAGCTGTAAACGAGATTTATTCAAAGACAGGAATATCAGAATTTGCATTAATCGCCAACTTCGAACTCGATACATTTCCATGAAACATCACGATTGTCGTTTCTTTCAGAATCTACGAACGATCTCGTCACTGCGGCGAACAGCGCGCTCTTAATCCTCTATAATCTACTGTAACATTCAGGTAAAGTTTCCAACGCATACTATACTTGTTTCCAGTTTGATTTGTTGCGTTTTCCTTTTTTTTTTTCCTTCTTTTTTTTCGGAATGCGCCAAGTAGTCGCTAATTTTTATCGAAGCTTGAGATACAGTGTGGACGTTCGCTGTACAATCTTGTGTTTATATTTCTTTCTTCTTCTTTCTCTTTTCCTTTCGCGTGATCACAAAGATTGACGCAGATTTCATTCTGTATGTCTTTTAGTGTGTTTGTCCATATGCAAGTAGCTTTGTTCGCAGCGAAACGTAGCTAAGATTCTATTTATTTGCAACTGTTATTAGCTGCAATTTCACTTGTGCTTTTAAATAGCAGTGAATTGGAATTAGATAGATGTCTAGTGGTAGTGATTGAAACAGATTGTCAATTAGATTTTGCCAGAAGATATTTCACGTGCGTAGACGAACTTTCTATAACGTAGCGATTAGTTTTTTGTAGAAAGTGTTTCTTTCAGTTCCGTATTATACGAAACGAAGGATTTTTATTGAAATGGCTAGAGCCGATGCGAAAGTGGCGCAGGGTTGCAGTGGAGATTTGGTTTTAATCGTTTGCTTTTCTAATCAGTCCCATAGCAGTTCGTTTTTTTTTTTTTTTAGTCATTTCCTACGATTCGTCGTTTGTAACATTTCGACAGTTGTGACGTTTTTGGTTAGTAACGAAAACTCACGATCTCTATATTTATTGTAAATCTTTATCAAGTTGGAGCTGTTAATAAGTTATTTTTTGGCAAATAGACCTGAACTAATTTCTATTAGGTACTGTATACTACAAAGTAGACAGATGATCGATTCACGTATCTGTTCTAAGCGTCTCGACGATATAGAAACCAGAGTTAAAGTTCGAAGAATGAATGAAAGCAGATTATTTTCTTTCCGTAAATTATATCAGAAATGTGTTTATTAAAAATATCTACAATTGGTCATTCTTAATTATACACTAGTGCATGATAATTTTGTTCTTCTTTATTAAACGAGGGTGTTCTCCCACACATAAAGTGTCTTCATCTTCTGAGCTTTCTGCTACAGTTTTGTCCTTAATTTTTGAATTTCTTGTGTTGGAATTAGACCAAATTGCAGCAATGCCCTGTGTATTTGGAAAATAATGTTAAATTGTAAAATTTATTTATTTATTTTAAATAAACAGCTATCGATCCGAATTAAATGAATTTGAAAATTGCATTAAATCTCGTTGAAACAACGGTATTTACATTTTTACGCGATTTACGTTACTTAACGATGACTTTAATTTTTAAATGTGAAACAAAAATCTAAGTTAGTTCATCGAAGTATTCATACAGAGTTCGAGCATACTTTTCTAAATTTTTTTAATTAATTGCTGTTCATTGATACATTTTGAAGTAGAATTCATATCATTTTACAAAATTTCAATGCTATTTACGATATTTTTAATGTTATCTTTATTTTCTTCGTGCAACTGCGTCAGGCACTTGCGAGTTATTGCAGTTTCAAATGAAGACGTCAGATAAGGTAGTACCCGGTGATCATAAAGTCTTTCCTTCGTGGATATTGCATAAAGATTTTATCATGCCCCTAATTTATGCTCGAAACTTTTCAATTTCGCTGCGTTTAACCGTGTTAACTTCCTAGAATCGGTGCGACTCGAAATTGAAGTTTTAAAATTGATATAATAGTCTGCTAAAAATAGCAGGCCTGTGAAATGGCACGGGCACATGCGAATCTTATTTTTGAGGCGTTCAATAGCAACAAAAATTATCTTTCGCGAAACAGTGCAATTTTTAGTGAAAATAAAAAAGGTAAGTGCGTACGAGAATCTTGAAAATCCGAATCTTTTAAAATTGAGAAATTTATATTTTTTTATTTTAATGTCACTTCCAGTTTAAACAGAAGTTTTAATACTATGGCTAATAAGTCGACGATGTTGTACGAAAGTCAAAGGTATAATTATTAAGACAATTCAAATATTAACAAAAATTCCAAGAGCATGAAAAACACACGTTTAACCCGACAATCAACTAAACAGACAATTTTGGCAATTTCGGGTTGATTGACCATCTTCTTCCATAGTGTTCGTATATATTAATAATAATTGTTTTATATTTCCTGTTTCTTCGACCAGTCGCCGAGAGACGCGATCACGAGGAAGCGCGTCAACGGGAGTCGTAAATTCCCGTTACGATTGGACGATCGACTCCACGAACAGGTCGATCCCTTATCTCGGTTAGGATAATAGAGGTGGTTTAATGAGTATAACAGTTGATTAACAGTTCAAAGATATATATTTCCAACAACCTTGCAGAGAAGATAGTTACGCTGTTGCGTAAGGTAAAAGCTAAGTAGTGAAATATTGACAGGTGTAAACCTGCCAAAGAGATGTTGACTGTTCCAATGTCGATAAATCAGTGAAGTCAGGTGACGATGCTGTTGCAAAGGAAAACTCTTGTCCGGTGGTGATCGCTGCACCACTGGTCGCTTGCGGGTAGAATCCTGGGAAACGTAAGAAAACCCAAGTTTCCCATATTTTTACCTGATGGAGCAAAAACCAATAGGGGGTCTCTTGACGAGAAGATGTTTTATGCCAATTGACGGACTTGACGGTAAATCAAAAAGCCTCGTTTTATGACAGTTCCTTAGGATTATTACGGCCCGCTTAATTCTATGTGCACAGCTGGTGGCCGTCTGGAACGTAAAGAATCACCGGACCTGACATTTCCTACAAACGTGAGAAATTTCTTAATAATAAAAAAGCACGATTAGATAAAAAATGATCCACAGCACGTAATAGGGTCACATTAAATATATACAGCCTGAGATCACAAAAATTTGTTTACACGTCCGAATTGTCTTAATTGTACGTACATGTTAGGTGATAGTTACGATGGATAAAACATCCGAAAATTGCAATGTATACGTAAAAAAATATCTATCTATACATTTAATTATTATCAACTTATCGAGTTCGTCGGAATAACATTTCTTTCGAATAGGCAATCGTTGTCACCATAGCCTTGTAACTTGCTCTACGCACTTAATGTGTATATTACGTGCATTGTATAAAACATATTGAAATTTTATTGGCATTATGACGAGACACGACTACCATAATTATATCCCGAAAATATGAAACGAATCTGAAGATGCATATTCGAGTTACAAGCTATTTACTCTTAAATCAGACCTTGCAATTAATAAAGATTAATATGAAACATGAATAACTATTTTAAATACACAAGAAGTATTAAAAATAGGCTAATTTAATTTGACTTGAAATATACTTGTGATTTCTATGAAGCAACTTATACCATGTATCTTATAGCTTTCCTGTATGTTCTTCGATTTGTTTCACATCTGACAAATATATCGGTGTCATGATTAGATAGCCGAGTCTTATTAGAATGCTAATGAAATGTTAAAATGTTTCGTATAATGTACGATAATACATACCGGGTGTTTCATAACATGCGGGGCCCACTTCAGGGGTGGACAGCAGACACAGACACAATGAAAAAGGTTCACATAATCGTGTGTTCTATTTGACCTCGTTTCCAAGTTATAGCCACCTTCGTATTTCAATGATCCGCGATAGTTTACCTTCGTAGAAGGTGCTCGAAATGGCTACCTTCGGTCTGTATTATTCGTCTGGAATTTTTGAAAAATTGCCAGATTCTTTGACACGACGGCTGCGAGCTTGCATACAAACCGAGGATAGAAATTTCCAGCACCTTCTATGAAGATAAACCATCGCGGATTATTGGTAACGTAAAAGTGGAAATAACTTTGAAACAAGGTGAAATGGGACACATGTTCGTACGAACCTTTCTCCATTTCTTTTTCCGTTCCCTGTTCACTCTTGAAGCGGCTGCCGCATATTATGAAACACCCAATATAAAGTTGTCTACAAGCGTCCAAATACATTCGTAAGCCAACGCATATTTAGAAGAAAATTTATACAGGAACAAATTAATATTTATTCGCGTGAAACGGGTGACTGTTGGAGCGATCCCTTTCTTTCTCGGCTACACGTGTAATTCCTGGTAAAAACGCTTTGTGACAAGCGTGTAAAATATGTCCGCAGACGGAATTCAGTCGGCTAAACTTGCTGTTGGTCTGGAGGCAAAAGATGCGAGGCTCGTTCGAAGGAAAAATGCGGCGAGTTTTGGCGAGGGAAAGAGGGACATTTTTCCATCTACGCCGGTCATCTTAGCGTATTCAGCGACACGCGCTAATTATATTGCTCATTATGCAAATCGAATCCGCTTAGCATTTGTATCGCAGCCGCGTTTACGTTTCTCGCCATTTTTAGTCCTCGTCGACGTCGTCTTTCGCGC